AAAAGTGATAGTAATTTCCTTTCCTTTAGCATGTTTATGAATGTATAACATAGAAAGCATGCTGAGGTCATTCATCGTTCTATTTGTCCCAGTGCAGTCAGTACCCACAAAATGCCAACAATTTTTTTTACTTTTATTGGCTGAATAAGAGATGAGATTAAGTAAGAGGAGCAAAAACCTTTTGAATGCTGGCACTACAAAATCATCACAACCCTCTGGAGCTTTTAATTTGCATGTTCCTCCTCAAAACGATTCTCTCCCCCACTCCTCCCCAAATAAACATGATTAGCTGAAATTACCACACCACATTATGTCTAATCATACATTCATTTTCAATTTTAGCAGCTCAGATGTCCAAAATAAATTATGATTATCATTCTATCTTCACACTGCATATGCTAATACGCCATTTGAATTCACAGGTGTGAAGACTCCCACTCAGCCGTCTACCAGGAAAAGGCCTCTGATAAAATGAGAACTTGTTTTCCTTTCTCTGAGGGTTTATAAGAACCCCATTATAACATGATGTTACAGAGAAAGATAAAACCTTTGCTGTGGATGCTCTGAAATGACTCTGCTATCTGCCAATCTGTTACATTCACAAAGGCTGTCATCTTGCCTACCTTGTATTATGCTGCAAACACAACAAACAACTAGCACAGACAAGTAGATGTGGCTACTTTTGCAGATCTCTGGTATTCTAGAGTATTACAGCTTGTAGCTAAAATATGTACATAAGGACATAGATTCAGCCCAAGACCCACTGACAGATTCAAGAGTTAAAATGTCTTAGGATATGTCTACACTGCAATTAGACACCTACAGCTGCCCGTGCATAGATGTTCAGGATCAGGCTGCAGCCTGGGCTTTCAGGTTCTAGAGTCCAGGTTGCAACCCACGTTCTCAGGTTCTAGAGCGCAGGCTGCAGCCCGGGCCCAAACATCTACACCGCAATTAAACAGCTCCTTAGTCCGAGCCCTGCAAGCCCAAGTCAGTTGGCATAGGTCGGGCACATGTTTTTAATCGCAGTGTATGTCTAGCCTTAGAGGAAATCCTCAGCTGGTGTAAATAGGCACTCTCCAATGGAACATAACTGATTTACACCAGCAAATGATTTTGCTCCTTTTTGTGCTTCTTTACTTGGAGTCAGACACATGAACTGAGTAAAGAAAAAATCTCTGGAGCGGCAGAATTTAAGAGAAAAATCATTAAGTAACTGATCTTTCTCTAGAATACCAGTTTATAAGCCTATTTTAAGTACTTAGATCAACCTGAAATGTTAGCCTTGATAACCAATTAGCAGAAATAAATATTGGAAGCCTTCATACACCGATTTCTGAGAGTCAGAGTGTGAGGAGAATTCTCTACTCTCAGACAGAGGAGACACTACATCATGGCAGACCATTGACATTAAATAGTTAAAGAATTAAACATATGTAAAAAAAACCCAACAACTCTGAGTCTTTATATAAACAGTCAAAGCTTCAATATCTGAAAATTCAAATCAAAACTTTGTGTAGAAACCAAAATTCATTTTTATAAACTCATTATTCAAAGATTTCCAACATCTTCCCCTGAGACCCCAAAATAAAAGGCTGTGAGACAAAATGTGCACAGTGCAAGCTGGGCAGTGTAAGGGTGGAAGTAGCTTTGGGCAGGCTTAAAGTTCACTCTTGAACTATCCCTGATCCTGCTGACACTCTATATTAGACTGGTCCCTGTGTTCTGAGTTAGAGCATCTTAGGGATGCTTTGATTTATGATGGCTGTAAATGTCCACAAGGTTGAAGATCAGAAAGAGGGATCTTCTGGTGGAGTACAGCAGGTATGGGAGCTCTTACATCATCACTCTTTCCCCTCATGTGCTGGCAGCAGGAAGGAAGCGGAATGCCTGCTCTCCTCGATCAGAAGATCCCCTTGTGCTGGCTGAAGCAAAATGCCATAATCTGGGGGATTCCCCCTGGGGCTGCGTGTACTAGCTTTAATCATCAAATCATCTGGCACTGCAGTGCAAAGGGGCTGGACTGCATATGAAAATCTAGCCTTATGTATTTTCGGTTTAGAGATATCACATACATACCTCTGCACAAACTGGATGAATTCCTATTGTGTTGTCCAACTGCGCTTTTGTCAGTCCACATTTGATGGCTGCTGAAAACCCCTGGGTAACTTCTCCAGCATTTGGACCAAGCACATGGAAACCGATAACTCGCTCCTAAATAAAGAAAATCAATTCAAGTAGCCTTGTACATTTATTCTCTTCAGATAGTCTTGAAGATTTTCTTATTACTAAAGACAGTGTATTTAACTTTTACTCAGATAAGTTGTTCCACTGACTTCAATGGGCTACTCACCTAAGTGAAGATAAGCATATGTGTATATCAAGCATATTGCAATACCAGGGCCAGTGTTGGTTGGTCATTTACTGTGTGTTTGTTCTGAATCATCTCAATAAAAATTAAATTTTACAAACTCCCAGTTTAGCAGTTAAGTAGCATTAAGTGTAACACAAGAAACGCTTATATATGATTCTATTTAGTTTTTCTAACTGGATTGATGTAATTGAATGATTACTGCTGGGCAAATATGTTCACTGACAAGTAATACATATTCTGTGCAAAGGGTCATAAATCAAAACACTGGCTCATGGATGTGATGTCAGGTTACAAGGAGACTGAAGCCTGAGCCCCGCCACCCGGGCCCAAAGCCCAAGCTCTTCCACCTCTTAGCTTCATGGGGCCCCCTGTGGCGTGGGGGTTCGGGGCAATTGCCCTGCTTGCTACCCCCTAATGCCAGCCCCATGTACATTTCTGTGATTTTATTGTTTATTGCCCATGCCCTGTCCGTGACTTTTAATAAATATACCCGTGCCAAAATCTTAGCCTTAACTACGAGCAATAGTTAACATCTCTGGTGACTGCTGAAACAGACACGGCAGATATTCACAAGAAAACAACTATCACTGCATACTCCGCTTCTCCAGCATACGCTAGTGTCCAATATCTGGATCCATTTTAGTATAGCTCCTTTCCGTACTACCGAGAGAACAACAAATCTGATTTATAAAATATTTTACATCCTGAGCTGGTGTAAACTGCCATAGCTCCATTGACTTTGATGGAGTTATGTGATTTATGCTAGCTAAGGTTCTGTCTCTTTGTTTTCATGCTATAGCAATCCTGTTGGATATCAAAGGCTATCTGCTTCTGCTAACTACAGTTTGTGATTTGAGTTTTAGATTATTTTTCCTCATTAGTGAGCACCTATGGGCTAGTTACCCATGGGCTATTTCAAGGATAAGATAATGGGTAAAACCTAAAGTATATCTATTTTCAATTGTCTTTTTTTTATGACATTGTATTAATAAGAGTTTCAGGTAGAAACTTAAATATTTAATGTATTGAATTTTCATCCTGGATAACTGCTAACCCTATAGATATTTAAACTCATTTACAATTTTCAGGACAATAAAATGTGAACAAATTAAGGCCCTGATTCAAAGTCCACTGAAGTTAATGGGAGTCTTTCAATTTACTTCAATGGACTTTGGATCAGGCCCTATAGCCCTAGTTCTACCACAGGATCCACATGGGTGTAAAGGAGATCTCCAGAAAGTGGAGCCTAAATACTATGGTGATGGGCACTTTAGAAATGAGATAGTTATTTAGACACCGTCAGTGTGTGGTAGAATCCTTAGAATTACCATAAGTACATTAGACAACATAGATAGGAGTAGCTAGATAAAATAGATTTATAGATGTTTGCTAACATTGGTTGCTAGATGCCAATATCTAGTAACAAAGATACTGTCACAGTAGAAAAAGTTAAAGGCGAGGGAGAGACTTGTTAATAATTAAAGTCCAACTCAGCTCTTATTAAACAGATCTTGCTCACTTATAGCTGGGAATGCTGATTCTTCTAAATGGTTTATAATCTACTTAATGGTTTAACAGATTCTGTAGATGTCTGTAGTAGCGAAGGGTGGTAGTTTTATCCCTGCTATGTCAGGTTAATCTTAGCATTATCATTTAAAATAAGATTTGTGAGGGCAAGACAGAGAAATCCTGTTATAGTCATCCCAAGAGTTCAAAACTAACCCATGGATTTGTAAGGAGATGAAATTTGATGGATTCTGGCTGACCTTGATTTAAGGGAGATACACCTCCTAAAGGAAGAACAGGAAGACTTTTTAAAAGTGTAAGAGCTACATAGCATTACTAATAGTTTATTTACCTACTTTTGAAATATAATGAACGTTTCTAGTGATAGCTACCAATATTTTTTAATCCTTATGGAAAACTACTATGTACAAATGTCAGCCATACACTCTGTTAAAGGGCCATTTTTCTATAAAACATAAATATTTGGTACATATTATTAGAAATGTTTTAAAATATTCAAAAGGTAGATTAGTGACAAACTGAAGGATATTTATTTTTTAACAAATGGGGAAAAACAACTACTTATCCCTTTCACTCTGGTCCCTAAAACGACTAGCTGGTTCCTGTTTCTCCAGGAGGAAAAAAATGCACTTACATTATCTTGAATATTGCAGATTATCTTTGCATAGCATTTGTTGTTGTCTCTAGATGGGACAGTCCACTCCAGTGGCCAGAAATAACTATGGTAAACCTAGAAATACAATAAAGACTTTAAACAAGTTTTATAAGCTTATGGTGCTAGAGTAGGCTTATGAAAAGTGCTCAGCATTGGACTAACTCTGCACCCACTGAAGTAAATGGGGAGTTTTACTGCTAACTTCAATGGGAGCAGAGTTAGGCTGACAAGGGGCACTTTTTAAATTCTCACCCTTATAGTTCTTAAAAATGAGTAAAACACAATCCCTCCTGGAGTTCTCTGTGGAGCAGTGCAGCTCTACCATCAGCTAACTGTAAATGAATTATTAGATGAGAAGAGTGTTTAATTAACCGCGGCTTACTGAGAAAAACTGAACATATGCACCTCAACAAATCAGGAGAGAGCTGGTTTAATCAGGGCCGGGCCGGATCTACCATTTTTGCCGCCCCAAGCGAAAAAAAAAGCCGCTCAGACTGCCGAAGCAAAAAAAAAAAAGCCATCTGGACTGTGCCGCCCCAAGAATGGACGAAATGCCGCCCCTTAGCATGTGCCACCCCAGGCACGTGCTTCCTCCGCTGGTGCCTGGAGCCAGCCCTGGGTTTAATGCATTTCACATAAGTAAGGTTCTACGGCACTTTATAAACTACATATATAGAAAGATGTTGTCAACCAACACTGAAATTTAGCCATTTCAGGGATGAAAGGCAGCTCAAGACCACAACTAAAAAATGTTTAGAGGACAAAGGAGACTACAGGTGCAACTAAGTGCTAAGGAAATTGTAATTATCCAAATTAGAATTCATCCAGGTTACAAATGACATTGAAATTCTTTTTGCCTCCTTCGAGCAAATTTAAAAGAAAAAAAAAAGTACTTCTAAAACTGCAAGTGCATTTTTCACAGTTTAGGGTCCAAGATTCCACATCCAGTTTGGGGGCTTGCACAGACTGGGTTTTGTGAACATAAACTGAAGGTGTGTGTGCAAATGAAAATTTCAGCCATCTTCCAGTGGCCAGAAGTAAGACCCCGTAAAAAAAAGGGGGGGGGTCATTGTGCGTCAAATCATATAATTCTTTTTCCACACAGCCCTCTTAAAAAAAAAAATCTTCTTAGCTTTACTCTAGTAAAGGTTTGCTAATTTATGAACCAGTCCTTACATAATCATTCACCCAGGCCTTGCTCCCAAAGCAATATCAATGAGAAGGCACCGTTCACTGCCAGATTCTTGCAAAGATTTTTTTTCTACTCTGTGGTTTGTAGAATATTTTACTGTTTTAGGGCCCAATCCTACAAATTCGTACATGTTCAATTTTACTCCCACGAGCAATCACGGTGGAACTACTCCCCTGAGTAAAATTAAATGTGTGTGTGTTTGTACAATCAGGGCCCTAAGGCTTGTCTATACAACCATCTAGCTTGTAGCAAGCTGGGGTATAAATCCACCTCTGAACAGCCTTCTACACTAAGGGTATGTCTACACTTACTGTGGATCAACATTGCGGCGATCAATCCACCGGGGGTCGATTTAGCAAGGTCTAGTGAAGACCCGCTAAATCAACCGCAGATCGCTCTCCCGTCGACTCCGGTACTCCATCGGAACAAGAAGCATAAGGTAAGTCGACGGGAGAGCTTCTCCCATTGACCCAGTACGGTGTAGACACCCCAATAATTCAACCTAAGGTACGTCCACTCCAGCTATGTTAGTCACGTAGCTGGAGTTGCGTAACTTAGATCCACTTAACCCCATAGTGTAGATCTGCGCTAAGTGTCCATGTGGAGCCTGATGGCATTTCAAAGCAGGGTAGATCAAAGTGCACTAAGGAACTAATAGTGCATAGCAGCAGGGTCCACACCGACAGTGGGTGGCAGACTAGTGTGAGGTAGACTTACACCCCAGCTTGCCATGAACTAAGTGTTTGTGTAGATAAGTCCAAACAGTCTAACAGGAATAATAACCATGGCAGAGGAATATATTGCCATACTTTGTGATTACACCAATAGTTCAGCTTTGGCACTAAAAAACATTTACTGCCTTTCAACGCTCCTCCACTAATTGATCCCCTTATTATGTCTAGAGACAAAGATTACGTTTTTACAAGTATTTTACACACAAGCCAACAAGAGAACACATCTGCAGCTAGGTTTACCAGAATTGCAGACTAATGTTTACACCAGGTTTTAGGGTCTAACCAAAGCGATAAAAATATTTTTAATATCCTGTTGACCTTAACAGTAGGTCTACACAGCAAAGAAAAACCCATGCCTGGCCTGAGCCAACCGATTCGGGCTCACGGTGCTGTTTCATTGCTGTGTAGACTTCGGGGTTCAGGCTGGAGCCCGAGCTGTGGGACCCTCCCACCTTGCAGGGTCCTAGAGCCCAGGCTCCAGCCTGAGCCTGGAAGTCTACACAGCAATGAAACAGCCCCGCAACCCAAGCCCTGAGAGCCTGAGTCGGCTGGAATGGGCCAGCTGTGGGTGTCTACTTGCTGTGTAGACATACCCTCTATAAGAAAGAGGGAAGGATGTTAAAATTTAATTTAAAAAAAAATCTTTCTTTTAATGAAAAAGCAGAACTGAACAGCTTACCTCAATATTTTCCTCCCCAAACTTCTCCAACGCTGTCTCTTCTGAGAATCCACAGGCTCCGTATTCCAGTGGTGTGAACACTGTGGTTGGAACATTCACATAGTCGCACTGTGTGGGATTTAATATATTTTTTTTTATGTCAGCATGTTTGGCACCATCAATATTCCAGTTATAAATCAGTACATTGTTAACATTTCAGAGAGATTTGGCACATAGGAAGCAGAGATGGGAAATTCATAACTCTGAAGATATCACTTTGAAAGCAACAAGACCTAAGGGTGTGGCTCTAGAGATGCTGACTAGAAAGATTATACTAATCTTTTAAACTACACAGAAATTAACATGCATGGATTGGGAAGGAAGAGGAAATTCAGTGCCCTCCTTTAACATGTCAAACTGAAGATAAAAGGTAGATTCTCAAATGCCATTAAAATAAAATTTCCAATAGGTAACACTGCATGTATGGTGTATAGCAGCATCCAAAAATGAGACTATTTTATACCTGTCGTGGTCTAAGGCCTTGGCTACACTTACCCGGTAGTTCGGCGGCGAGCAATCGAAATTCTGGGTTCGGATTTTTGCGGCCTAGTCGGGAC